TCTCACTCTCTCTCGCTCTCTCTCTCTCTCTCTCTCTCTCTCTCACTTTATGCTGTGCCCGCGAGCTACCATTAGAGCGACTGAATTATGCATGGGTCGTGCTAATAGATTGCTGGCCAAGACCACGAACAGTCTGACCTGGCCCCGTTTCGCAGCTCCGCAGCAAAAGAGTTGAACAACACGAACTGCGACATATCTTTACTTATGTATGATATTATCTATTTAAGTGGAGTGCCTTGCACTCCCCCTCCCCGACTTCTGCACTTAAGCATAAATAAATAAAAAAGGTACCCTCTTTAAATATTACTCAAATAGAAATTTGTTTTGATTTCCAACTCGAACGTAATTATTATGAAAATTACGTATTGTAGCAACCACATACCAAATCTAAGTACTCTAGCTTAAATAGTCTCTGAGTTCCTGAAGGGACTGCAGGGGTAAATGGAGTGTTCTGTATGTCATATAATATTAATCTATATAAAAACATGTATTATGGTCTCTCTTTCTCGCTCTCCCTCATAATAATAATAATTCATAGCTAATTAATATTAACTCATGTGCATAAAAAAGTTTTCTGATTTGTTGTAATTTTTCCTTGTTTATCTAATTTATAAAAATTGTTGCATATCGAATTTCTCAGACTTTAGCTAAATGCACAAATAACCGTTAATAATATCAAAGTATACCCTATGGGATGTTTGCATATAATTCATGCTAGTCTTCATTCGCCAACCCATTGACCAAGACCGGGCTGTCCCGCCCCCTGCCCCTTCAGCCCTCTGTCCCTCGACCTTTTATTTCAATTTCATTTGAACGCATTTTTCGCATAAATTCCATAGAAAATAGCTCTATTCACTATTTATTACTGGGCATACTGTTATGTTAACCCCCCGGCGCACACACATACACCCACACACACACACACACATAGAGAGTAAGAGAAACTTTGCCCTTACCCCTGGCCTTTGATCGAACAATGAAAGGCCTCGAGCCTCGGGTCCAGTTTGCGTTGTTGTTGTTGCTTTTATCGCTCAATTCGAGACCCAGAAAGTTAATAATTCTATATCATTTTTATGTGCGTGTCCATGAGACTACACACACACACACACACACACACACACACACACTTCAACATAAATAAATTTATTATATATATATAGTAAAACTTTTGTCACAAAGAATTTGCTGGCCTCGTGGCAAAAAGTTGTGCCGTCTGCACATAAAATTATTAAATTGTGCTTTTCACATCTGTAAATTCTTCCATATTAGCAACTACCACGCCCACCATCCCTACAGTATGTCACGAAAATAAAAAATATACGGTAATGGCCTGGGCCAATGCAAAAGTTTTCCTTTTTCGCAATAACCAAGGCGTGTCCCCGACTCGAGTCGCTCTGCTGCGGGAGCTTTGTCTGCGTCACAGGTGCAAATGTGCTGCAATTGTCTACATGAAATGGGGAGCGACTTACCAGCTGAGAGGGGAGAGGGGTGAGGGGGGGAGTGTGATCAGGCGGTTTGCACTGTCATTCGGCCAAGCACCCTGTCGGCGTTTTGACAATGAGCAGAAGTGCATGGCATATAGACACGATTAGCACAATGTACACTGAGCGAAAGTGGAGTGAAAACGGCAAATAATGTGTTGATATACATATATGTATATACATTTATATATACTAAAGAAAATACCTATTGATAGTGATTTAATATTGTACAGTTACCATTTCTCAAACTGCAGTTGCCGTGGTAAAGTCTGATTGATGAGTGATTGATTGAACAGCTTAAGGAGCGAGATATAGATATGGACTTTGTGCAGTTAGGTTAAGTGATTAAGGCAATCGTGAGCTAATACTGTCTAAGAAGTAGTTTTAAAACTCGCATCACAACTACTTGATTGATGAGTGATTGACGTAATATGTATACCCCGAAAGCCAAGAGTTAAATTTCTATGAATAATATAAAAATCAGATATTTCATTGAAGTCAATTATGTTTAATATTGTCATCGTACAAAGCACTAGAAATTTTCTATACAACATCTAGACATGGCTACATGGCAAATGCTCACACCAATTGTCATATGCTTTTCGCTCAGTGTATGCACATATGGCTCAAATTGCTGTTGAACCAGCGCCCTAACCTCAAAACGCGACTTTCCACCTACATAGCTAGGTCACCGAAACCCGCTACATGGCCAGGACTCGACGGTGCCGCTGTCCAACTGACTGACTGATTGACTGATTGAACAATTGCGGGGTGCACAATTATGGCCAACACTGTCACGTCATTAAAAATGCAACCGGCTCGCAATGTCAGGGCTGCACTTGTGCAAGACGACTGCTTGTGGTGAGGGTAAAGGTTGGATTGCGGGGTGGGGCAGGACAATATTGGTAGCATGTCAATTGTTAGGTTAGCTAACCAAGGCAGCCTGTCAGCATTGGCCCCTCGATGACGATAATGATGGTGCTGACAATGATGAGGCCAAGACGGCAACGTCTGGACACGGACGGCCCCGCTGCCCCGCCAAAACACTTCACACAGGTCTAACGTCTGGCCACTGGCTGAAGAGTAGATGGGTAGAGGGGTAGAGGGGCAGAGGTGCAGAGGGGCAGATCAATGTGAAGGCTGGGGGCCGGGGCTAGCCTAAAATCAATATTACTCGCTTTAAATTATGAACAATCAAGCGAATTGTCGTCCGGCTGTTTATTATTTCTGTGGAAAGTTTGACGAAGAAAAATATTTGGAAACAATTGTTGGCAAACTTTTCCGGGCATGCTGTCTCACACTACCCTGCAATAGTTATAATCACTTATGTCACGAGTAGCCTGCAGCACACATGAAAATGATGATAGATATATATATATATAAATGTAGGTACATGTATAGATGTGTGTATAAATTGCTTTTCTCCTTCGCATTTCGATTGCTCAATGCGAACTAAGCAATTCGTGTTTCTGTTTTATTTCATGACGACTGGCCGCAGTCATTGTTAATTGTTTTAACTACCCATCATATATATATATATAAATCGTTGAAACAGACCTCTATATCACTTAGTGGCAGTAGTCATACGCTAAATGGACCAATGTGAGTCTTGAAGCACTCACGATTTATTTAGAATGTCAATAAATAGTCATTCTTTAACAAAGTATACTATATAGAAATATACAGTCATATCAATTAGTTATCATATAGATAGGATATATATCACACACATGCTTCATCTCAAATGTATAAAGCCATAAATAGTACTCATCTCATATCTTAAGTAAAGGGTATTTTCTATAAGCATTTATTTACATTTTGATTTGCTTCATCTTCTTCATCCTCAATTCAATGTCGAATTTCATGCACTCACAATTATATTCTGCATTTTTTATATCTCAACAGCTCGAAGTTTGGCAATTGATTGAGAAACTGAATCGAGGTTGCATGTTGCACGTGGCCGGTTAATATGTTGGAATAATCATTTCCGTATTGGCTTCAATTTCAATTTTTGATTTTTTGATTGCTGCCAACAAGCCCAGTCGACTTATAGAGGTGGCCCAAGGGGCGGGGCTGGAGGTGGGTGCAGGAGAGTGCGTGTCTGAGACCAGCTGACCAATGGCAAAAATCAATGCGCATTATGAATAACGCCTCCACACAACATACACACAAACACACACACATGAAGAAATGAATGTAATGTAATGTAATGTAAGGCCAACCACATAGCGTATGCGCAATATTCACAATTTAAATGTATAATTTGTGCTATAATTAATTGGACAGAACTGCACAAAAAATCCCAAAAGGACATCCAATTAAAGCAAAAACCACAAATAAACCCAAAAAAAAAATCAAATTGTATATATAAATAAAAAAGAATTAAATATTCATACACATATAGGAAAAGTCGAAAAAATGGGGGAAAAAGTAATAACAAATCTTTTCAACTGTGAAAACTGATTAAATGATGTGGGAATCTATGAGAGAGAAATGGCGATATATAAGCGGGCATGTTGATAGAGAAGACAGATAGGCAGGGAAAGTGAGAGGGCGGAGTAGCTGATATAATAATAGAGATAGAAAGAAGAAGCAGAAGGAAGAAAAGAAGAGCGACTTAAAGAGATAGAGTTATAAGACTATATAGATAGAAATATATATAGAGACAGAGAGAGAGAGAAAGACAACGAAAGAAAGATAAATATGTAGAAAGAGATAGAAAGAGAATGAAGAAGAACGAAAAACAAAAACAAAAGCTATTGCCAAAAACATGAGAGATAGAGGGAGAACGAATGAAAGAAATAGAGAAAAGAGGAAAACAGGAAGATAATGAAACAGTAATCGAAAGAGAAAACAAAAAAATTTGAGGTAGAAACTGACAAGAAATAAATAAGCAAGAGGGAGAGGGGGAGAGAGAGGGAAAAAACAACATAAACTTCACCTATGCCAAAGTAGCTCCAACATTATTTTCAAGTCAGTAGAGAAAGTGTGAAGGAGTGGAAAAGGAGAGCGAACCACTTTATGAACAATTCATGAATAACATACAATTCCAATTGAAACAGTGGGTTAACAAAAACTTTGAATAGAACTCAAATATCATCGCATCAACCGAATTTTGTTGCTTTTGACGCTTTGAGCCAAATTGGCGAAAACTTGGCCAAGCGGAAATACGCAATGCAGATGACCTCTGACCCCTGGCGAAGGCGAACAGCTTCGGTTGTTGCTGTTGCTTTCCATTTGTTTGCTTTGACTAATTAAGAAAGCCCACAAGAATCAGCGAGGAGTGTGGCAGAGCCTTTAATAAACTGAAAATGGGAAATTGAAAGTGGAAGATGGAAAATTGAAATTTCATATTTTAAATATTAAATTTGCTCTGTTTATTCAGTTAATTAATAAATTCATCTCGATTTCAATACATAATTAAAATTCAATTTTATTATTTGGGATAGGCCGAAAAAAAAATGGTTTTAAATTACATTTTCTTCTTAGAACTAGGTACAAAAAAATGTTAGAGGCATATTTAAGAATAGATATTTTGTTTGCTATGCAATTGTCGGTAAATATTTACACAGAGATACATATATACATGATTGTGATTGACTGCTTGATTGAGAGTTGTTTGCTTGATGGACAACTATTTTCAAAATGTTGCGCTGATCGACCGAGCTATTGCTTGCTTTTGTGATTGTCTAACTGTTGAACAGTTGTTTGTTTCCCTTGCGGTTGATTGACTGCTTGATTGATCGACTGACTGACAACCTGTTGCCAGCGGCCAGCAATCGATCAATGGAATGGTGCTGTGTGTGTGCGAGTGTGAGTGTGAGTGTGTGAACAACTGCAACGACTCCGTACCAAGCGGAGCCCGTCCAGTTGTCCTGCTCACAGATCCGTGCTGATGGTATGTGTCTGATACTGTATCGGCTGCATGGGATAGCCATCCTCGGAGGCAGACGCTTCCGTATCCACTTTGAAGCGCTTGGCCGCACTCTCCATCTCGCCCTCGAGATCGGTGAAGGCGGGAAAGTCGACGGGACAGAAGTGGCCGGCAATCGCCTCCGGTATGTGGCTGACATTGTGCAGCATGTGGGCTGGCGTGCTCTGCAAATAGTTGCGCCACTTGTGGTAGGAGCGTGAGTTGAGCTCGACGGTGACATCGCGTCGCTGGCAGACGGGCGACGAGGTCTTCGGCATGATGCGCTGGGCATGCTGCATCATATACATCTCCCATTCCAAGTTGCCCACGTCCGGCGACAGGTCCAGGTTGGTGGAGCTCACGCTGCTTCGATTGGCCAGCTCCATATCCTGGGTGCGACACAGCTGGTGCTTGGTGGGCGTCGATGCTGCACTGCTGCACGTATGATAGCCGCAGGAGCGCTCCAATTCCTGCTCAACCTCGGCCAGCGGCCGCTCGCCAAAGTCATCGCAAATGGGCCGCGATTGGCTGCGACTCCAGATGCTGCGATTGCTGCCGCCGAGTCCGCTGCTGTTGTTGCTGCCGCAACTGTTGCTGTTACTGTTGCTGTTGCACTTGCTGTTGGTGTTGCTGCTGTTGTTGTTGCTCTTGTTGCTGTTAGTATTGCTGGCAGAGCTGCCGCTGCGATTGCGCTTGGAGGCATATCCGCTGGCACTCAAACTGCGCTCCACATCCGTCTTCAGACTGCTCGCACAGCAACCCATTTTCGCTTGATTCGAGTATATAGTTTATCTTGGAGACTGCACTGCCAAATAGTAGTTCACGCTGCGCTGCGTTAACGTCAACTGTTTGGCCAAATAGCGCGACAGCTGGCCTTTATATAGCCAGCATGCCGTGCATGATTCAGTGCAGGTAGCGCTCGGCTCTTTGCGAATTTCCCGGAATTGTTTTTGGTCGAAGACGCTTTACCTGATCGATCGATCGATCGATCGCAGTTGGGCCGTAGTTTTGGCTAATCCGCCGGTTTTTATTACGCGGCCCAAAAGCCCGACCCGCGTGTTTCGGCTTAAGATAATATATGTACGTGCGCTATACCTGCTCAATGTCCTTGATTGTCCTTGTCACAGGGATTTCGCTTGATGGATTTTCAATTTCGTAAATCTTCTGGACTTTTCATAAACTCGCGAAAAACGCGCACATGCGGCCAACCCTTTTCTCACAATTACCCAAGCACTTTTACACAATTTATCCAGTCAGAAATCAAAGCAATTAAATAGATACACATACATAAATACATAGATAGATAGATAGATAGATAGCAAGGGAGAAAGTGAGTGCGGCTCTGGCTGCAGCTGGCCTCGTGCTGCGACCATAATTCGATTTGAATGCTTGGCCGGCGCTGCGACTGCGCCTAACCTTGGCCCATTGCGTTTTGTGGGCCTTTGTTGTGCAAACGCCGTTGACGCCGGTGCAGCCAGGACAATGGGAGGCGCAGACAGAGAGCTGAACAACAGAAGTGCACAACAGCTGCGCCTGCGAGTCGATCTGCATTTTATTGAGAGTTGAGAGAGTTTTCGCTTTCCGTGAAATCTTGTGAATGGAGTCCTTCCTCCTGGCCAGAACTACTTATGACTGAGCCGACTCCTGCTGCTGCTGCCGCTGCTGCTGCCGCCGCTGCCAGCCTCAAGGCTGCCCAAAGTAAATCGAAAGCAAATACATCTCAGCCACTTGCCAGCCGCGAAGGTTGATCAAATGTTAGCTAAAAACACTCGACCTGTTCTTTGGCCTGATTGACAGGAGCAAATCGTACCTACGTGACTTTCTCGAATATTCCAAAAATTTCCACAGCTCTATAACGTATTCAATTAACTCTCGTCACCAAAGAGCGAAATCACTCGAAGTGCTACAGATTTGACTTAACAATTATCCAATTTAAGCCCAATTCTAGATTACATGCATTTCGTATTAGTCAGCTAATTGTTTCAGCTATTACCAAAAGCCGGAGACCAAAAGACTTAAGAACACGTTTATCGCCGTACTTTACTTATTATATGTAATCATGTAAGTGGAAATAAATCATCCACCAGGGACTGGATAGTACAGTCATACGTATAGCATCACCAAAATGAAACACACTAATAGATAAATGTAGATATAGATGTAGATATAGATATAGATATAGATATAGATATAGATATAGATATAGATATAGATATAGATATAGATATAGATATAGATATAGATATAGATATAGATATAGATATAGATATAGATATAGATATAGATATAGATATAGATATAGATATAGATATAGATATAGATATAGATATAGATATAGATATAGATATAGATATAGATATAGATATAGATATAGATATAGATATAGATATAGATATAGATATAGATATAGATATAGATATAGATATAGATATAGATATAGATATAGATATAGATATAGATATAGATATAGATATAGATAT